AGCCCGATTCTGCTTTCCTTCTCATTTCTTCCCGCTGTAGCCACCCGAAGAAAAAAGAAAGAGGAACCCAGCCATGCCTTGGGAAACCAATGAGAAAGCTTAGAGATTTCTCCTTCCTTCTTGCTCTAGAACCTGAATTGGAACCCAGAAATTCTCCCCCCTGCATGAAGCTTTCGGATCTGCCTTGCTCTGCTCCTCACCGTCCGACTGCTCCCGCTTTGTGGGTGTGAATTGCTCGGTTTTTTGGTAAGAAATAGCCATGAATCTCCCTTCTCTTGTTTGAATTGCCCTGGGTTAACTTTGATTGCTCTTATTTCCTCCAATTTTTGGGTAAACCCGTGAGCTTTCCCTGCAGCTTGCCGCCGGCCTCTTCCCCCCTGCAGTCCGGTTTTTGTTTGCAAATTCTGGTATGTGACAGCCCTTTTAAGGCTTAAATTATTCGTTTAGTTTGCTGGCTGTGTTGTCCGAATTTGATAGAAAATTGGGGATAATTCCGGTAGCAATTAAGAGGGATTTAAGTGTGTTTTGTTGCTTAATTCAAGTGAGATTTATGTGATTGAGTGTTAATTGCTTGTTGTGATTTTTGGAGAGAAAATCCCGTGAGATTAGTTAGTGTTTTGGCTAATTTGTGGGAGTGGAGTTACTGTTCATGTCGGGGTTAGTGTTTACGGCACTGTTCACCGGTTACTGTTCACACCTCGAGGGCCAACATTTAGCGGGAATTTAAGTGATTAGTTTGTGATATAAGAATGAATTTGGAGATATTTGATCATGTGGAGATTTATGGAAATAGTATTGTGATTAGGAGTGATCATAATGATGATTTCAACTTGAATGTGTGATAGTCCGGTATTGATTCTCGGATGTTTTGATTAGGTTCCCGATCGTTCTGTCAGTTAGTGCGTGAATTGAGTGCTCGGTTTTATGCGAGTGAGGTAAGTAAATTTATGGTAATGCCCGTACTGTTTTAAAAGCATGTTTTGATTTGTTTTTGAAGTGGTGGCGGGACTAAACCCGTTTTACATGAGTATAACTGATTTGAAATGATATTTTTATGCTTTTCATGAAATTGAGCATGCCTACTTGAAATTTGAGTGACTGTCCTGATGATCTGAAAGTGATTGTGAATCGTGATTTTCCTGTTAACTTCTGCCTATTTTGTCTCCGATGTGGTCATGTTATTCGTGACCCCGCTAGTGGGGGAGGTATAAACGCTAGCACATGTCAACATGTAGTGATAGAGCCGGTTCGTTCAACCCAGCTAGTGGGGGTTATACACCAGCAAATCGTGGCCCTACTAGTGGGGATTATACACTAGTATTCCTGTTTGCCTGCCAGTGGGAACTGGCCATGACCTATAGAGGAGACGTCTATTTCGTGCCCGTACT